TGTGTGCGTGTGGGTAGGAGGATGGTGGGTGTGTGTGGGTAGGCAGAATGATGGTGTGTGGGTGTGTGTGTGTGTAGGAGGACGGTGTGTGTGTGTGGGTGGGCAGGAGGATGGTGTGTGGGTGTGTGTGGGTAGGTAGGTAGGAGGATGGTGTGTGGGTGTGTGTGTGCGTGTGGGTAGGAGGATGGTGGGTGTGTGTGGGTAGGCAGAATGATGGTGTGTGTGTGTGGGTGGGCAGGAGGATGGTGTATGGGTGTGTGTGTGTGTGTAGGTAAGCGGTGGACGTTGTGTGTGTGTGGGTAGGTGTATGGGTGTGTGTGTGTGTGTGGGTAAGCAGGAGGATTGTGTGTGTGTAGGTAAGCGGTGAACGTTGCGTGTGTGTGGGTAAGCAGGAGGACGGTGTGTGGGTGTGTATGTGGGTAGGAGGATGGTGTATGGGTGTGTGTGTGTGTGGGTAAGCAGGAGGATTGTGTGTGGGTGTGTATGTGGGTAGGAGGATGGTGTATGGGTGTGTGTGTGTAGGTAAGCGGTGGACGTTGCGTGTGTGTGGGTAGGTAGGTAGGAGGATGGTGTGTGGGTGTGTGTGTGTGGGTGTGTGTGTGTGGGTAAGCAGGAGGATTGTGTGTGTGTGGGTAGGTGTATGGGGGTGTGTGTGTGTGGGTAAGCAGGAGGATTGCGTGTGTGTGTGTGGGTGTGTGTGTGTGGGTAAGCAGGAGGATTGCGTGTGTGTGTGGGGGTGTGTGTGTGTGGGTAAGCAGGTGAAAGTACTCCACGGCAAAAACAAAAACACAAAACGATCACCATTTGATAATACGCTGCAAGAAAATGCGCGTGTATATTTTTTTCACGCAAATAAATAAAGGGTTACCTGGTTGTCTTGCTTACCGAACGTAGTGAAGTAGAGTAATGTTATATTTATGCGGTACTATATTAATATTGACATTTTTTTCTAGCTTTTAAAATAGTTTACAGCTCAGTGACAGTTGATTTTAGTTTCAATGACACAAGTCATATGGAGAGAGGGAAGAGGTTGCACAATAATGGCGATACTGCCTGAGGAAATCCCTTACAAAATAAGAAGCATTTTCCCCATGCCATGAGATGAAATACCCATGTGGATCTCTCTTACATGCTAGAAGACGGCCCGTGGAAGTAGATACCATGGAGCTACTTCTGAAATCCCTTCACGTGACCTCTGGTCCACACAGCAGTCATTTCTAACCCAATTGGCAACTAAGAATACAGCTCTCTGCATGAGTCAAACCAATAGTTCTCACCTCTGACTCCTCGCACCTCCGATCAACACGGTTGGCTACGTACGGTGCCAAAGACGTTCAACGTACAGACAAGTCGAAATGTAGCAAAATTAATTGTGCACGAAAAAAATCTGGGTTGGCTTTTTTGCAGTCATTGACTGACTCGCTCTCCACTACTGAACAACCTGGTTTATTCACAGGCGGCTAGCCACCTCTGAATATCCTTTTCCTTTTGCAAATATTTTATTTCAAATAAGTTAAACATTTGACTCTATATTTAAGACTACAATTTGGCATGATGGGTTTTTTTACCTGTCCTGCCATTGCGCGTTTTGACGTTTTCATTGAAATCGGAACAGAAATTAACGCTACGCTGTGTACAGCAATGCCTTGTTCTACGCCAGTTGCGACACCGAGATTGATTGATTGAGCCGAGAAGTTAGGTATGGGGAAAGGCGAATATAAAACAAAATAAATTAAAAAAATGTAATCCCACATTTTATGTGTTATGCTAATGTAACATTTACCCTCATCATGGTGCCAAATGACTCCGTACATAACACCATCAGTGCAGAGAGAATTAATTAAACTAATTAAGTGCATGCTGTGCTTTTTCTCATAATGGTGTCACACTCCCCCCTGCTGGTATTCGTCCACCAGCACTAAGCAAACGTGCACACGCCGCAATTCAGCCGAGCATCCGTGACGTCTGCACTCGGTGACTGTGCTGCTAACAACACCCTGGTGTATTGACACCCGTGGCGGTGCACTTGCAGGCAGGGTGCCGATACGAGGCGTCGGAAGTTGAATGGTTCGGCGGCTAAACGCGACTTCACGTGCAAGTGGCCCATCGCGCTTCGGCGACCGAGACCTCAACACATCCGTGACGAGCACTGCACAAGATCAGTATGTGCTCTGAAGAAGGGCCATTGCCTGCAACGTGGCTTATGATGTTGATATTTTTCTTCGCAAGGACACAGTGACGAATGTGTTGGTTTTGTTTTTGTTATTTGTGCTTGCGCACCACTGGCGACACAGCAATACGAAATCATCATTTGTTGAATCGTGCTTTACGTTGCACTTAAATCACGCCCAGCTGGTAGCACACGATCAAGAGATGAATTATGTTGCGAATAAATACATTAACCTCACGGTCGTCTAAATAATCTTAATTCTTAACACAAAACATCCCGTGACACCGGATGTTAATTTAGTTTTAATGCCATTAAGTCCCTCTAGAAATGTTCTCTTATAAAGCCATTTTCTGCCAGCGTCTTTATAGTTTATGATGCCCAATGTGGGTCTCTGCATATATCTTGGCTGACGTTTTTACAGGCATTTTAACACTTTGCCAGAATACTCCTCCTGAGAGACGCACCGGCTATAGGGTCAGCCGTCAGGCGAGCAGATGACCACAAACGATTTATACCTTAATGAGTCAATACGGGGACTCGACTCATAGAGAACCCGGTTACAATGTCCATTTCATTTTTCTAATTGGGCAAGCACACACTGCTCCGCTGACGATGTGAGATGATGCACATTGCCAGGGAGGAGGCTGCTTGACAGCGAACCAGATTATGAGCTGTGAATAATTTATGTCCACAGAGTCTGTGAGAACAGCGGCGATCTGCTCGTGGCGTTGAGATTTGCGTGGGGTTTGCATGTGCCCAAATCTAAAATAATAATGCACGGACAAAATTTCATATGTACTGTATACACTTGTACCACAGTGAACCCAGATGTATTTTTTATCTGGCTCATTTGGGCTTTGTTCCACGACTGTTCCTTATTACCCCATTGGAAAATATTGCCTAGTTTCAAAATTACGAATATGACTAGCGGTTTAAGTGGGCACCCCACAGTTAGTCGATCTGAAGGTGATGTGTGGTGGGGTTAAGTGTGGATATTTCCGCTTATTCCAAGAAGTCTGATGAGTGTGGATGAGTAGGCCAAAAACCCTGTAAAAGGGGTTCTCTAAAACTCCCTCTACTGGAGGCTCTTCCAACAGCAGTGGTGTGAGAAAAGAAATTTCAGAGCTGCACCTTTGCCGACGAACATAACAACACGTGACGATATTAATGTCCTATTCAATAGAGCTGATTGTGAAAGCGATGGGCATATTTTATTTAACCAAGATTACAATGGGTAGCAGCCACAAAACTTGATAATCACATCGAAAGAATCAGTCCAAAGTTATGGTAACTTTATATAGCAGTTCATCCCATCATGAGGTGACTTTTTTTATTTTGAAAATACATTTTGAGCACCATATCAAATCGCAGGAGCTTCAGAAGAAAAAAAAACAAGTTGATAACCGCCAAGGCAAACGATAAAAGTCTTAAAACTAACGGAGTTCAAATGACGACCGTGTGTGCGCGAATGGCATGCAAACCACGGCGGTGGCCCCGTAATGTGAATCTAGTGAAATCAAGATCAAAGCGAAGAAGCCATCGTGGTCAATGCCAGTGATGGTACCATGCCTCACCACTTCAAAGTCAACTCTATAACTATTTCGCAATTTTTTTTTATTTTACCAGGTTGGAGCCACTGAGCTCTATATAGCTCTGTTTCAAAAAAGACCTGCCTATCACATCATGTGGAAATTTACAGCAGCCAATTAATAGCGCATACCGTTTCTAAATGTGGAGGGAAAAACCGGAGGGCCCGGAGAAAATTCCACGCAACCACGGGGAGAGAGAGAGACACGCAACTCCAAAAATACAGCAGGCGTTAGGGTCGGGACCGAACCCACGACCTCCTGTATACCAGGCGAGGTAGTTACCATCTCGCCACGTAGTTTTCTCTTCCGTTTTCCTACGACTCTGGTTTATACTTTCTCCTTCATCACCGACCTCTAGGGCACCTACTACTTTTTACAACCACTCGTGTATTAACCACATTATTGTACAAATACCAATTTCACATTTTCACTTCCTACCGATACTTGTACGGCAAGGCGCGACTACTCCAATCTGTTCCACGACATCTGGCTAGTGTGGAAGAGTTGGCCAAATACACTTTAGAGGGGCTCTCTAAAGCCACCCCACGTGGTGGCCCTTCTGCCAGTAGTGCAGTGAGCAAGAACTTGTGGTGCTGCACATTTACCTTTGTACGGGGTTACAGTACCCTGTCGTACGCAAAAGAACAGAGGATTTTCCGCTTTTGTTCCATTTTATTTGTCAGTGTCTATGTTTCCAATCCATATTTTTATTTTCCGGAATCCAATTGATAGTATGTATGAGGTAGACTGGCAAGGTAAACCTGTCCTCAATTCAGATTGCTCACGTTGCTCATACTCTAAATGTCACTTTGGTGCTAATGATTCCTCATCAACAATTTACACACTTGGTACAGGAGGTGAATGGGTCTGTAATTCTTAAAATAATTGTCTCCAGGAAGCACCCGAGGTCACACGTGAAGATGTAAACACTCCTCTTTGCAGTATGAAACAAAGGAAAGCTCCTCGATGAAATGGAACGTCTGTGGACACCATAAAAAAAGTGGGACCAGTTCTTGGAACAAAATTATCAGACCTAAGTCACTAAATGTTGACGTAAAATGAAACACCTCAAACGTGGAACGAATCCTCGGCCAGTTTAACACGTAGGCTTTCGCGATTAGCCGCTGATATACATACACATTTGTACATCGCAATACCAAATGACTACAGATAAAATATCAAAGTTCCCAACACACACACACGCACACACACACATGCGCGCGCGCCACGGGGACGGTTACCTTGTCAGCCACTTCAAGGCTCGGTGGCTGCACGGCGTGACGGTGGGCCAGCAGCGTCTTGAAGGAGCGCAGCCGCGGGTGCTTGTGGAGGCCCCCCCACGGCCCCCCGGGCTCCAGCGCCACGTAGCCCCCCGCTGGGTCGCGGTCGTCGCACAGGCTCAGGATCTCCTCGGCCGCCAGTCCGACGACACAGCGATCCAGCATGCCTGCTTCGGGGAGGGCACGGCACCACAGGGTCAGTGTCGTGGCTGACCCTTCGTGGTCAGTTCCTAGACCATCGTCAAGCCTAATGAAGAATGTTATCAACATGTTTACACTCATGTCGCAGTTCGGCAAAATGACGTTTTTATTTCAGCCACAATCGCCACCATACCTTCCTTGTACCCCCTTCCTCCCCACTCCACTAAATGTTATCCGGATTGCACTATCGGTGTCATGTGAAGAAATTAAGAATCCATTTGGATATTTCGCAAAGTAATGCAACACTTCGTGTTAGAGAATGGCCCGCGCAAGCGGACATCACAGACCTACCTCTGAGATTCCATCAAGTGACCTGGCCAGCGCAGTAAAGGGCATCACATTCCCACACACTCTGCCAGATCACTGTAATGTTCATCGCGTGACAGTCAAAACAACATTTAAAATCTCAGGGCTGAAATTTAGCCAAATTAGCTGCAGAACCAAATAAATTTGAAGTGTATTTCTTGGTGACGAGGCTGAGACCATCAACTCACTGTACTTGAGAAACCGGTTTAGTTGAGGCAACGACCTGGACTTGAACCCATGTGCTCAGTGTTGCCAGCTTGGCCTTCTGACCTGAGCCACCCAGCTGACTCCACTCAGCACCGAGCTTCATTGCCACTGCAATTACGATCACGCCCTTACTACGCCCACACAGAAGCAGTACAATGCTACCACGTAGGTGAATACAGGCATATACAAGCACTAACTTTACAATGAGCACATTCAGATTCGTACATTACCTTCGATGTATTATATATAATAGGGGTAAATGTAATCATTATGTATGTTGAACTTCTTTCGCACTGTATGTAGCCAACCGTGCTAATTGGAGGTGTTCATGCTGATTGTACACAAGGTCTGTTCAAGCACAGCTGCATAAGAACTCTCTTTCAATTCAAGAGTGTGATTTAAAAAATATTGGACCTGACAATATCAAAGACACTTTCACGTCCACTTTACTACAAACAACATGCTTTGATAGTTCTCCACATAAATTATCATGCGGCTACAGAAATCGAATCATTGACTTCACGAAACTCTCACCCAAGTCGTGAGTGTGCTGATGACTTGGCTATCCAGCCACTTTCAAACGCACAACATCGCTCACACCAACACGTGCAAACTCACACAGCAACATTCACACTTCACGCTCAGTATGGACAGTATTTACAATGTTTTTTTTAATTTCATCGAGGATATTCAATGTGTACTGTGCTCTTGATAATTAAGACGTGGACGGTGTAAAAGTCACTCCGTAAATAATCGAGGCTGCGACATTCTGACTAAATTCTTCTTCTCCATTAATGTGCTTACTGGCAACAGCAGGAGCCCAATATCGTCACTGATAAGCGGAGGTCTCTTGTTCACTCATCAATGCATGTATGGCAATTAACAGTTGGAGCACGATGAGAGAGAGAGAAAGCAAGCAAATATGAAACATGAAACAACACACAAGCAAGGGAATTTCACAACAAAAATAAATACAGTAACCAGCAGATACATGGGAAAGACCTTCAGCTAATGGTGGATAGAGAATGATTAATATTTCCACGAATGACGATTTCTTTATTCTGTATCACGGCAAAGAAGAGGTTAACGGTAAAATGTGCACGTTTGACACCAAGACTACGTAATGTGAATGGCCGGTGCTATTTGAATTTTATAGACCGAGTTTAATTACTGCTCAGACGAGGCACTCTCCGCTTTAATGGGTCACAGCTGCTTGGTCTCATTCCTCGGGCTGCTAAATCGCCGTGCGCTGCCAGGTCGTTTGCTGTGCGCCGCACAAGCGAAGCACATTCGGCAACTCGCACAGCTGGGTTGCACCTTGTCCATCTTCCATGGTCACGCTTCACTCGTCTCACTGCTCGCATGCCATGCTGAGCAACTTCCCATTCCGAGTATAATTAGGGAGATTAATCTCCACTTGGATCGTAGCACACACGAGCCGGGGTGCACACAGTCGGACGGTTCAATTTCCGTCCATGTAGTTGCATGTACGTTGAACTTCTTTCACACCGTGCGTAGCCAACCGTGCTGATCGGAGGTGCGGGGGAAGGACATCAAATTATGGGTCTTTGTGCGAGTCGATGAATCTCTGTGTAAGTCTATGGATCTCTGTGTGAGTCCATGTATGTATATTGAACGTCTTTCGCACCGTACGGAGCCAACCGTGCTGATCGGAGGTGCGGGGCAAGGACAACAAACTGAACACAACAAGCAGTTCCAGCAAATGTCTGATGGGAATTATCAACCATTCTGCCTCTCGTACAAATAGACATTAAAGACCCTGTAACGTCACTCGGGTGGAGGGGTGGGCGCTGTGGTTGGCGCACTTGCTCTGAACCTGGTCACGTGCTCTTGATTTCTGTCGACAGCCACCGTCAGTGGCGAGCGGCGTCTGAACCAGTCCTGAACCCCCCTCCCCACTTCACCAACCCGCATAGAGCGGCGTGGGTGAAGTATGGTGAAAACAAAACCCTTCGTGGGTTGATGAAGGTTCAACGTTAGCATAATTTGCAACAGTAAGCCACTGTGTATAGCACGGTCAACTAATAACAAAAGGCCAACTGCCCTTTAATAATTCTGGGTATCCAGGTCTCCCTCGAAACAAAATTAATAAAAAAAATTGTCTCGCCTGGCAAATAAAAAGGTAGCAATCAGTAAAAAAAAGGATGCAAATGTAAATTATTCTTAAAAGAGAGATATTCAAAATGTTAATATATAAATAATGACCTAATTTCGGCGACTGAACGTCGATGTTAACCTAAAGAGTATTTTTTTACAGCATGTGTTCAGAGCTATCACAGATTACGGAACTAAAAATGCTGCTACGGCTGCCGCTGCCGCTGCTGCTGCTGCGGCTGCTGCAAGAGCAAAAATGATGGAGACAGAGGCGGCTCTCTCCGCTGCAGTACACTGCATCGCTTAAGATGGCCACCAACTGTTTTTCAGTTATTGAACTTTGTCACCAGAATTTATGCGGCAAGGCTAGGGCCATAAATTATTTACATCGTGTGTTGGCCAGCCGTGGCAGCAGAAGGATAAATCTTTACCAGCAAGCCGCTCTCTTCCGCCTTCAACAACTACTGAAGCCACAGGACCCTTTTATTTTACCCCCAAAACCTCCACAAGTCGCAATATTAACTCATTGCCCGCTAAATACGTAGAGCCAATCGTGGTGAATATGATAATGTATGTGCTCAATTGCATTTACATAAACAGACACAAAGGGCAGCAAAGGTGAAGGGTGACTTTTTTGTTGGTATACATCTGGACAGGGGGTCGACGGGCAAGAACAGAGGGCATGTTACTGCACAAAACCAGGCCAGGCCACATGGCAAGGAGACAGAAGTGAGGAATAGAACACAGACGTTAGAACAAAAACAGGGCACTGAAAAAACCCACAAAAAAGGCCAAAGGGAGGTCAAAGGCCAAGCGCAGGGTGCTGAGTAAAAGGACTGGCACACGTGAACCCTGGTCTTGTGTGTGAACCACATCACCGCATACATATCTCCAAGAATGTGTTCGAGTCGAAGCATGCAATGTTTCAAGTACGCTGCCGCTACGTCACTAAGCTGTTTTATTTTCTGAATACGTGTAAAAAAAAGGGATTGGACAACAAGTATAAACATCCGCATCTGCCTATAATATGCTTTTTAAAGAGTGCTCGCGTCAATGAGACAATAAGAAACAACTCTGAAGGGAAGTTGAGCCTAAATACACACAAGGTCAAGAGGTCATCAGCTTCAATGCCTCGGCGTCTCGACGCCGAGCCTCGCCTCATGTTGCGAGATCCCATTGATATCACGTAACGCGACGTGATATCAGGCCTCCAAGGTTTGGGCAGTGACACGGCCCAGCGGTAACACATTCGCTGCTTGCTGCAGAGGTTCGTGGTTCGAGCCCAGTGGCCACCCTGGTTAACACTGCGGGTGTATTAACCTGCGGATGTATTAACCCCAAATACTATGTGCCGTCTACTCCGCAGTGGGAAATCAATGATCCTGTGACGTTATTATGAAAATAGTATGCCACGTGTGCCGGTGTCAAATTTTATTAATTGCATAAATCCACACAGAAATATAACCCTTTACTGGCAGACTTTACCCATCTGTGAGATGTAGCCGCCTTCATGATATCCTTGCACCATAATAATGGTAATAATATCAGACATACTAAGTTATTATCGAACACGATTGGCTCACAAGTAGCATCACATATACCCCTCTATGTAAGACCTAAACTCGAGGTTTTCTCCACAACTCTGGCTATCGCCTGATGAGGCTGGTTGCAATTACCGGTAAAACGTCGTAATCGATTTGTCAATGTTGTGGGTTTACTCTCCAACACACTGGTGTGCTGAACTAGAAACGAATTGGCTTGTTTTGTTAATGTGACAAACCCTACTAATTTGCCGTGTGTCAAGTGGTGGAGGGTTTAACGACACATTTATATTTACGCAATATAACCCAAAAAACCTCTATTGTGGATAAATTATTATTTGTTCTTAAATGATTCCATCATCTTCCCCTTGGTTGTATATTTCTGCTGGCAACTGCAAGGTATGTATCAGTAATCGTCCCTCCTGCTCAGTGACCAAGAATCCCACACACGACAGCGTGTAGGCCACGTGTTAAATGTGGGGAATAGTCCGGTTACTTACATCTTGCTTGCTTTCAGTGGATTGCATTCCTCGGTTTCTTAGAGGGAGGCGGCTGTGGGAGCAGAGGGTGTAGAGTGATCCATGGAGACACCCCTCCGATGTGACCGGTTGATGCGTGCAATGTCTGGTGACGGTGACAATATCACTCTTTCACCTTGATATTTTTTTTAAACTGTGCATGAGGTGGCCGGGTGGGTCAGAGGTCAGAGCACTATGCTGGTACCACTGGAATCCTGGCTTTGAACGCAGACAGGCACCCATGATTAAACTAGCTTCTCGTATGCAGTACGTTCATGG